TCTTTCGGACAACGGGACCGAATTTAAAAATCAAGAGGTCGATGCCTACCTGTCGAGGAACGGCATCCAGCGCGCCCTTACCCCAGTTTACCACCCACAGGCAAACCCCACGGAGCGAGTGAACCGAACCCTCAAGGCCATGCTCATATCGTACGTGGAGCGGGACCATAAGAGCTGGGACGAGCACCTGCCTGAGTTCAACTTTGCGTTGAACTCGGCAACTCACAGCGCGACAGGGTATAGCCCGGCCATGCTGGTCTTCGGTAGACAGCCTACTCCCCCCTCGACCTTTAGAAGGGCTCAGGATCAGTTGGCTCGGGAAGCTTCCGAGGGCCAAGAACTGACCGAATGGGGCGAGCACATGCGCCAGTTACCAAACTTGTGGGAACGCGCTGGCTCTAAGTCCAGGGAGGAGGCGGCTCGTCAGGCGGTCTACTACAACCGGAGAAGACGTCAGGCCGACTTTAGGGTTGGGGACTGGGTGTGGAAGCGGAACCGCATCTTGTCTTCCGCAGCTCAGGGCGTTTCGGCGAAGTTGGCACCGAAATACGCTGGTCCCTACGTGATTTTGGAGGTATGCGGGACGAATACCTACCGCCTAGGTAACCAGCAGGAGGAGTTGCCCGAGCTGATCCACGCCAAGGATCTCAAGCCCTATTTCGGCCCATACTCTGATGAGGACGACGAGGAACCAGGAGGCGGGGACTCAGCACCGCTGGACGAGGAGGAGGGCGTAGGCGACCCGCCAGCGAAGATCGAGGGATCCAGCGAGGATCCGATATGCGAACGCGTCGCGAATGCAGCCCCCTCGAACGAGCGTGAGAAACCCGCGGCGGCTCCGGAAGTACCGATCGAGGCGCCGGTTAAGCGTGGCCGAGGTAGGCCGCGCAAAAACCCCGCGTGCGAACCTCGAGAACCAGGTGGAGACGACCTGGATGGCAATGCGGTAAAGGGAAGGGGCAGACCACGTAGAACCGCCCAGCACGTGCGGAAGGTGGTGCTGCCAGCTGCCCCCGCAAATGGGCCATGCTCGCGAGGAAAGCGCCGGGGACCGGGACGTCCTCGTAAAGAATAGCGTCGAGCATTACACGGCGACGGGTAGGTTAAGGGCTGAGCCTGAGAAATCCCTTGACCCCACTTCTTCTCTTTTACAGATGGAGAGGAAGCTGGTCATCAGTGAGGAGGCCCTCGAGACGGCAACCCAGCTGCTGCTCGACCTGGGATTGGGCCCGGGCGCCGATCGGCTGATCGGCGATTTACGTCGCTTCATCCGGGCCCAGGTCGAGACGGCCGCTCGCGAGGGCCGCTCTCGCCAGCGGGTGGATGACTTCCTCCGGGAAGGTATGAGGGCCCAGGCATCCAAGCCCTCGACCCGGGAAGTATCCACCCAGACCGACGGCCCATCCGAAGAGGGTCGTCGGTCACAGTCCACGCAAGACCAGGGTACGCAGACCCAAGGGTCGAGCGCGTCCACGGTGGAGAGCTCGACCCAGTGCCCCGGGCCAAGGGAGGCCTGCGGCAGCCAGCACTGGGTCTGCACCCACCCACGAGTCCCCCAGCAGGTGGGTCTCGAGAACACCTGGAGGCACGTGAGATTGGGCCTCCAGGAGCTCGAGAATGCCTGGGAGTTCGTCGGGGAACTCCAGCGCCAGGTGCATGCGCACCTGGGAGAGTTCCTCGACTTCCGAGGTGCCCAGGAACTGCTGGGGGAGTGGGCTCCTGTAGTCCGGCGGCAGAGGGCCTACGGAGAGGCCCTCCAGCGCGTTGACCGGGGGCTGGAGTCCCCAGAGGCCGCGGGCCCGCCGGCAGTGTTGCCACCGGCGGCCCCGACGAGCAGGGATGCGGCCAGGGCTCCAGCCAAGCCCCCGACCAAGGCTCAACACAAGAGAGCGTCGGGGGCCCCCGGCGCCGGGCAGGAATTCGTGGTCCGCGTGGACGGGTCGGTTTCCGACCCTACCGTGGTGGTGCGAACCGAGGGGGGACGCACATCCGCCACGGTGGGCGGCGTTACATTCATCGCCGCCCCGGCGTCAGCAGCCACGCCGCCCCAACAACCGACAGGAAGCCAGGGCCATGGGGCGGAGCCCAGCCTCGTCAGGCGACCGGGAAGAGGCTGTTATATCTGCGGCCATCCCGGGATCACGACCACGTCGAAGTGCCCCAACAAGTCGGAGCACTGGCGCTACCCAAGGCATAAGGCGCCAGGGGGCTCCGGCAAATGACGTGGGGGGGTGGTGGCCCGGGATGGGCAAATAAAGTATTTGTTGAGAATAGGATGTGTTGGTTCCTCTCCTTCCCCAATCCTATCCTTGGGGTCGCGAGTCAATAGGGTAGTTCGATCCGGTAGTTCGAAGCTAGGAGGGGGCTGCAACGATTACCGAAAATCGTTTGACTCGCGCGATGGAATTAGCGGTTAAGCGAGGTGAGCCGCGTTCGGTTCGCGAGAGAGAGAGAGCGCGTAAGGGGCAACGACCGGGAGGGGAGGCTCCGAGCGCCAGTACGACTGTGATACTCAGTCAATCCGTGCGCCTAACCTCCATCCGTCCCGAGTTTTCTCGTTTTGTTTTGCCACTGACTGAGACTGTGATTTGCGCGGGTGAGTGTGGGCGACAGCAGCATCTGCAGCAGCAGCAGCAACAGCGGCAACAGCAACTGCAGCAGCAGCAACAGCGGCAACAGCAACTGCAGCAGCAGCAACACCAGTAACAGCAGCAACAGTAGCGGCAACAACAACAGCGGTGACAGCATTAGAGGCAGAACAGCGGAGCAGTTTAATAACTACGTGTTATTCGGATACGGTTGGCCACCGTATCCACGCCGTCGTTGCGGTAGGTGCACCTTCCCTGTTTCTGATTGTTGTTAATTTGGCGTGCGAATCCGCGCAGCGAGCGCGAAGAACAGATATATTGCGTGCGAGCAGGTAGTTCGCGGCATTCGTGGTTTTTCTCTCTCTCTCTCAAAAAGCGTGTATTGTCATTCACGCGTGCGCGCGTCAGTCTCTCGGCCAAATCCCTGTGTAATTGATTTCAGTTAATAAATCATCCCTTGGTCTTTATTCGAACGAGTTTCTGTTATTGTGTTTCCCTTTGTCCGGAGGTCGCGCATATTTGTTTACATTCCGATTCGAATTCGCCGGTTGCGAAGCACGAATCGCGTGAGAATCACTAGACGCGAGTCGACGTCCTAGGTTCCGGTGGTGGCCGCTCGAGCGCTAATAGTACGAGCGACAGCGCCGCCAAGTGGCGAGTTGGGGGAACCCAACTCGGAACTTTGAAGAGACTCTGCGCAGGCGCACTCCTAGGCAAGGTAGGTTAATGCGCATCGAGCGCATAGATAACTAGGCGACGTCTGATCACTTTTAGGTTTATCCAAGGATTCATTGATTAGACGGCAACCTGTTACAATATGTTTAATATTTTTTAAAATAAATTTTCAAAATTAATATAAAGTCTATCATTGAGATTCGATTAAATAATTTAAAATAAATTTAAAATAAAATTTTATATTATGGAGAATCAAACCTGCGTTCCGATCATCCGCACGTCAACGCTCTACCGCTTGATCTATAACAAGTCTTATAGGTAGAATATGTGCTGCCTATATTATTTTTTGATTTAGCAAATAAGAAAAAAATTATTATTAATTGTGTTTAATATGTTGAATATAACTTAAAAGATACCTACGTATATTTACATGCTATTTCCGCTGAAAAAAATATAATAAGGATAAATAAAAATAACCGATTACAGGTTACAGTTTATCAATAATTATCTTTTTTTGTTTATTTATACGTATAGTACTGAAAAGTGCCGTTTGTTTTATTTATTATTGACAAGAAAACGAGGCTCCGAAAGGTTGTCATTTTAATCGTTTTTCATTCAAACGTTTGTTTTTCTTTGTTTAATACTTACCTTTGTGGTTACGATATACTTGCTCATACGTTTATATATACAAGTACGACCGCGATCGCGTATTAATACACTTTCGCGTCTTTGTGTCGCACTAATCGCTATTATTTTAATTACTCCCACCACTATGTTATAATTACTTCCACCGCTGATTATGAATGTCTTATGCGCTCGACAAAAATAAGAGCAATTGCGTATTCTCCCACCTCCAAGTTTCAATCCAATTTGCACTTTTTTTTATTAAACCATCTTCGGTAGGTCACACACAGATACACACACTTTTAACTATAAAAAAAACCATTATATATTAATTATAATAAATATATATCAATAGCATTATTATATATACATTAGTGAAAAAAATTAAAGGATCAAAAAAAAATTCTTTTTAACTAGCTGTATTTCCTTTGAAAATGGTCGTACTGGAATTAAAAAAAAAGCGTTTTCAAGTTTGAAGTTTCTAATTTTGAGATCTCATAATCAAAAACTTTTTCAAGCAACATGTTCTGCTCAATCCTCGTGAATACCAAAAAAAATTTTTTTATGAAATTTTTTCAGTTTTTTTTTTAGTCTACGAACTTGGAAAAAATTTGTCTAACACAGCCACTATATGGATCGGATAACTAGTTTAGCTTTAATTTGCATTTTTGAAAAGTTCAATACCACCACCTCTTGCTGAGATATCGAACTTTGAATGGAAAAGGATCTTTTTGTCTTTAACCATCAATATCTCAGCAACCGCTGATTGCACAAAAAAATGAAGGTAGGTTTTGAAATCTTGAATAAATTTTCTAAAAAACTGAACCACTGTTTTTAATCATTATTGGTTTGATCATTGTACGACCAAAAATTCCTAATCTAAGTAATTAGGTTTATGAGGTCTATTTGTATGTAAACAAAACGTATCCAACGATATTATCTAAATATGATTCAATGTGACATGTATTATTTCAATAAGTATTGCAGTTTCAGAATAATAATACAAAGAAAGTTTGTCTAAGCCTTATTTCCAAGAAAATCGAAACCAAAATTGTGTTTTATTTCACTTAATTATAATTATAGATATTTTAATATTATTCTAAAATAACTAACCTCTCTTTCATTTGTGGAAAATACTATTCCTAAACTCGGCATCGCTCTCAAAATAGCAACTAAAGATTGTATTGTATTACTATAAACAACAGGCCTATACTGCTTGAAATCTTCAGGAGTAAACCCACTTTCATGGATAATTCTGTAAACAATATAACATTATTTATTAACTTTCAGATTTAAATTAACAGCAGACAAAATATAATTATATAGTGCTGAACAAATTTCATAAATCATTGAAAACAGATAGAGAATATTATATATATAATACTTAATCATCATTTTTTTCGTTTGAAAAATCAACTGTAAAATCCCATATGGATAAAACGCTATACAAGTCTCATATGAGATTGATATGTAATATTAAAAGCAATATATACTGCCCGTCAATCACTTTTGCCATGCTTACCATAAATTAGGCAAACTTGAAAGTTTTGTATCTCGGTCGGAAATCATCGTATCACAAAAAACCGCAGGGAATTTTAAAGGTAATTGCAAAAGCTTCCATTTAAGACGTGCAGAGACTTAAAAATGAAAATATGTCTTTTTTACAGTAAAAAAACTGATTAAAAAAATTTCAATTTTTTTAACCTCGACTTAAATCAATGCCAATTTAGAACCAGGCGGTGGAGGACAAATCGACCTGAGGGGTTCGGAGGGTAATATCTTTCCCTTTAAAATGAGCTTCCGTGGGGTACTATCCGATGTTTTTTAACCGAGTTACGGCGTTTTTTGTAAAAAGCAACCTTTTTTCCAATCCTCAATTACTTCGACTTGCGTACGTTTTGGAAAAAAATGCCGAAGAAAAAAAAGTTTCATTTTGTGTCCAAGAATACGAAAATAAAGTTAAAATAAAGAAATAGAGAAAAAATTTTTTTTCGGTTTTTTAGCGCATTAAAAAAATAAAGGAATTTAATTTTTTTTTACGCTTAGTTTTAGTTTTTTTGTGATCTACTACGTCCCTAGACATTTTAAAACTAAGCGTAAAAAAAAAGTGAAATTCCTTTATTTTTTTAATGCGCTAAAAAACCGAAAAAAAATTTTTTCTTTATTTCTTTATTTTAACTTTATTTTCGTATTATTGGACACAAAATGAAACTTTTTTTTCTTTGGCATTTTTTTCCAAAACGTACGCAAGTCGAAGTAATTGAGGATTGGAAAAAGGTTGCTTTTTACAAAAAACGCCGTAACTCGGTTAAAAAACATCGGATAGTACCCCACGGAAGCTCATTTTAAAGGGAAAGATATTACCCTCCGAACCCCTCAGGTCGATTTGTCCTCCACCGCCTGGTTCTAAATTGGCATTGATTTAAGTCGAGGTTAAAAAAATTGAAATTTTTTTAATCAGTTTTTTTACTGTAAAAAAGACATATTACCATTTTTAAGTCTCTGCACGTCTTAAATGGAAGCTTTTGCAATTACCTTTAAAACTCCCTGCGGTTTTTTGTGATACGATGATTTCCGACCGAGATACAAAACTTTCAAGTTTGCCTAATTTATGGTAAGCATGGCAAAAGTGATTGACGGGCAGTGTATCATTTAGGTTATAATATGTATTATGTATCAAAATATTTTGATGTCTATATAAATGGAAAATAATACATGCAAGATAATAAATAGAGATTGCTTTCAGATACGGACGATTTTGCATGATCATAGGGAGAGAAAATTAAAAAAAAAAGATAACTTCTACACGATCTTGACGGTTTGCCAGACATACACTTGATACTTTATTTGAATGTACAATTTTCTGTTATTTCTCAATCCGCCATAAAAAATGGAAGTTTCTAGTTAAAATGTCGAAGTTAACCCTCAAACGATTATAAAAGTCAAGTTGTAGGTTGACTTGAACGTCGCCGTTCGATAGTCTCTTCATCTTTTTCAACTTTTATATAAACCATTTTCGGTGACATGCACCCTCAGTACAGTATTCGATTCCCGTGATTAAAATCGACATCCATCTTATGCCAGTCGCTGATCTTTATAAATATATTTTTACTATCTACATGTACCAAAAACTATACCCGGGCTAATCTTAATTGTACCTTCTATACTTTTTGGAAATCAATAATATAATGTTACGTCCCAAGCAAGCCAGACATCAGACGCTGATGTGTCGTCGAAATAGCAGTTTGCGTGTGACTTTTAATCTTTCTTACACAAACGGCTAACTGCGCGGAACCTCGCTTCGGCAGCTTCGGTACGGATCGACCTCCAGACGGAATGTGCATGTAAGCCGATGCCGTTTCCCGCGGAGAATGAAAGTCGCGTATAGCATTCCGTCTAATATGCGCTTTTTACAAAAGCACGTCGCGAAAGTGGGATAAACAGTTCTCTTTTCTCATGCTTTCGCGAAAATTGCTGAATAGAATAAGGAACGACTCGCGAAGCTGATTGAACATTTAGCCCATTGACCGGTGCCATTAGTTAGTACGCCAGTGGGTAGGCCATCACGGGGCTTTTTCCTCGATTGCAGAGAGGACTCGGAACACTCGGCAACCGGGAGCGAAACGGTAACAAGCTGCGCGAAACGTCGAAGTAAAAAGGTATAAATCTACTAAAGGAAACGATACATCTTAAAATCAGTAAAGTTTAACTCAAACCGAAACATTCCGCTAATCCCTCTCGATTTGTAAAGTGTGACTGACGGTGAGCAGTGCTTTAGGCATATTCCACTACTTGTCAAACGTCGGACTGCAGATCGACAAATCGCAAAGGAAACAACAGTCCGAAAGATAGCGAAGGGTAACCCCTACGACAGGTTCTCTTTTTATTTCTTTTTCTTTCGATAATTTTGCCAAGCTTCGCTTGCTTTAGACTGATTTTTCAAGTAAATTAAATTAAATATTTGGAAATTCCGGACGTAACAATAAATAGCAAATAATTAATAATAACCGTTCTTTCATTAACTATACAACAGTAATAGTCAGAACGCATGAGTGAATCATGGGAGGCGGGAAAAATAAGCTGCGTAAATTCATTACGTTCAAACATCAGTTTGTCAACGACTTTATATGTAGGACCTTATTAAACTGTAATACAAATATAATATGCAAATGACTCAAAATGTATCTTTCTCATTCTAAAATAAAATTAATTACCAAATAAAAACTAATGCGATATTTTTTCGTTAATTATCAATATTTTTACGATGTAAAACCACTTAAAAATTGTACCTTGATTGATTTCAATTGTACCCTCTCTACTTTTTCAAAATTATTAATATAAATAATAAATATATAATAATAACCATTCTTTCAATAGCTATATACTGGAGTAATGATTAGATGGCATGGGCATATCACTTTATGCGTATTTGCCATGGAGATACAGAAGACGTAACTGCTAGTATATGCTTTGGAGGCTAATGAGGAATCAGATTAGCGGAAAAGTCTAGTAATTGCCACATCTCTCGCGACGGGTACCCGCGAACTCAAGCTACTAGTTACATATCCCAATTTTTCGCTGAAATACTATTAATCCAAGCACTTAGTCAAGTTGTATGCAAAAATTATGTAAAAAGATTGCAATTTTTGTATTTTTACAATTTTTAAAACAATACTAAAGCTAATTTGATATTAATATTTGTTCGCGGCGAATCCGCTCCCTTATTTTTACAATTACGCGTTCTCTCGCTTCACCTTTTACTTTTATTTCTCGCAGCAAATCACTTTTCTCAAAATACGTGCTTATTCTCTAATTGCGCTGGGGATTCCCCAAAAACGTGTTGAGTCTTCTCTAAATGTGCTCATTGTTTTCATCGTACTCTACATGCAACCGTAGATATTCCGTTTGCTACCTCAGTTTAGGACGAGTTATAAATTGTCTCGGTTCAGAGGAAAAAACTCTCGTAAACCTTCCAAAACACCGTTACGCTCATCCCATCATAAACGAGTTCGGCAAGTCCGGGTTTTCCCTAATTGCCCGGGCCGCTCCGCCCGCAGCGTTGGGCAATAAAAAAGGGGACTCTCTCTCTCTCGCTCACCGCTGGCCCTCGAGTTGCCGAACTCCGCGCGGAATCCCTTAGCTACGCTTCCGCTAATCTCTGATTGGATCCTGCGAAAGGGGCTCAAAGAGAGAGGGTAGTTTTCCCGCCTTTCCGCGCTTTTCGCCATAGTGGCATTCCCAAGAAGACGCCACGTCAGAACTGAGTCTTGAAAAAGAGTTCGACCGGAACGGTAGCCAACTATTACGCTCCTTCTCGTGCGCATCTCTTTTTTTCTGCAGTTATACCGACGCGCGATCGCTAACATATTTGTTTCGCGTTGTCTTCGACCGCTTGTATTCTTGGGTGTGCTCGTTTGCTTCAAGCAAAACGCGTGTGTTGTACCGCAGTGTGTGTAACCCTTTGACGACCACCGCAAAGAGACTAGCGATGAATCAACTCGCTGCGCTAGTAGAGGCGACTTCAGTTTTCTCTGGGGTGCTGTCAAACCCCGCGCCCTCAGATCGGCAACTCGGTGACATAGCAGTAAGGGCTGTACCCGTGTCCAAGGCATTGAAGCTGCATGCACCTTTCCTACCTGGCAGCACCTTCTCCCTTCGCTCGCTCAATCATTGTGTGTGTGTGCGTCCTCCAAAGGTAAAAGAGCTCTGGAATTCTAAGAAGTGAATGGACATTCCACCGCAACGTTTGTAAAGGCTCTGCGAGCCTTATCACTTCGCATCAGCGTAATCCATTTGCTTTACTCACTCACCCTAGTAATAATAATAGTGCATTATTTTGTAATTCCAATCCCTTATCAATAACTGTATTTATAATTTGCTTCGCCTTTGCGGCTTTTTTCCTTCTCACTTCGAGGAGGTTTTTTTATGCCATTAAACGAAATCAATTTACTCAAATCTTATCCTATTATTTAGCACAACCCATACACGCTGCCTTACCTCATCTAATTTCATCATCATTAAATTAATTTTATTTATTACGTCCTACGCAAACATTATTGCTGTTTATAAATGTAATGACTGGCCATTTGATTAGTTGCAAAGTAAATTGATTTCACTACTTTCAAAAATTTAAAAACTATTATACTCCTTACAATAAAATATGTTTCAGATATATTTGGATCATCTACTGCTAATAATGCCAGAAAATGCAATACTATTTTCCACTGATGATACAGCTATTATCTCGACTAGTAA